AGATCGCTGTGGCGGTGGCTTCCAGGCCGCCTTGTGAACCGAAACCCTTCAGTTTCCAAACGTGCCCAAAGTACACAAGGGCCGTACTTGGCGTGTCCTTGGACGTGTCCCTCCATGGCCTCCTGCCCCGTGTCCGGAAGGGACGGCAGCGCTGCCCTTCGGTTCTGGCTCCTGCACCCACTGAAGAACAGGAGGCTGCAATAGGATCGGCTTGTCCAAGGTTTCTTAAACTCTTGGAACGAAGAGGGAGGTATCACAGTTGTCCAGTCGTGTGCTTGTTGAGCAAATGGTCAAAGGATGAAGAGATTTCCTCCAGGTTCAGGGACTGGGCTCGGGTCCCGGCAATCATCCACCCAAGTGGCGGGAAGGGTATGGAGATACGGGGACGGACACAGTGCCGGGGCTGGGGGACAGCACGGGGACGTGCTGAGGGTTTGCTCAGCTCTGTTCACAGCCCGGAGCTGGTGGTTCCCTCACGGGATTACCCCGAGCGTGGGAGGGAGCACTGGGTGCCGCGACGTTCGGCAGAGGCAGGGTGCCCACTGCCTGTCCCACAGGGCTGCGAGCGCTGCTGGCAGTTAATAATAACCGAGCATCCTCTTCCTCTCCCCGGGGGGAGGTGTGGGAGGGCAGCGGGGGGGACCCACGAGGGCTGAGCTGGGCTGGGGTGACAATGTGGCCTCTCCTGATAAGCTGCTCCGCTTTCTGCTCCTGCAGATTTACAGCCGGGGAGCGGGGAGGTGGGTGCTGCGCTTTTCGGCGCAGTGATTTATAGCGGCTCGGGGTGGCAGCCGCTTTCCGCAGGGTCTGGGCGACCGCACTGGGGTTTTACGGCTGCTGTGACTAAGCCACGGGCGAGTTAAAGGCTCGGTCAAGGTCACTGCGTGGTGGGGCACAGGTGGGAGCAGGTCTTTTTCAGCCATGGCTTGGAGAATGTCCCCATCTCAGCGTGGGGAGGGCTGGGGTCGTCAGCCTCCCCGGGGAGGGGGGGGCTGCCCTGGCTCGGCTGAGGAAGGGCTGGCTTCGCGGCAGCAGGGATGCTTTCAGCCCTCTGATCCCTGACCCTGCATGCTGGAGCCTACGAAACGCACAAGTGAGATGAGTTTTAGGCTCGCAGCTCTCAGACCCACGTGGGAGGCAAGGTCTCCCCACGAGCATCGCTGCCCGGCGCTGCCCAAATGCTTTTCCATGTGTCCCTTTGACACAGACCGAGCAATGCCGGGAGGGATGAGCTGCGGCAGGAGGGGATGATGAGGAAGGAGAGGTCAGATTCTGTCACTGCGCTCCCTTCCACGCGCCAGCTCCTGCCTGGGTGAGCTTCCCAGCTCTTCTGTTTTGTTTTAGAGGCAGCACGGGGGCCCCAGAGCCCTGCAAACTCTTCATGCTCGGGGTTTTATTGGCATGTGGAAATAGTTTGTCTGGTTTCAGATCTGGCTGATCACTAACCTTCCCGCTGCCCTCCCCCCAAAAAGGGCTGACAACTGCGGGCGGCTCAGCCGCGCTCATCTTCCTCCCTCTTTCTTTTTTTCTCCCCACATTGTTCTCTGAAATTCTGGCTGCTGCTTTTCTCCCCCCTCCCTTTTCTATCCTTGCGCGTCAGCTGGGGTAGAAGTATCTTGTTTCTGTAGAAAAGCTCTTTTTTTTTTTTTTTTTATTTTCTTTTTGTACTTTTCCCCCCATCCTGGAGGTCACGGGGTGCCTTGCTGTGCCTCATTCTCCTCAGGGCTGTGCAGGGAGAGGAGCAAGAAGGCAGCTCTGGGTACCCTTGCTGTTACGCCCAGCCTGGTGGTGGCAGAGGGGAGCCTTGGCAGGGGTGAGGGCACCAGCATCTCCAGAGCCCTTGTTTTTTCTCTCTGATGGAGAAGCCTGGCAGATCCTGGGGGCCAGAGCCACCACATTCCTCCCTTATTTATCACCGGTGAGGTGCTGACGTAGGCTTGTGCGGGATGGGGCAGGTCTCCTTCTGGCCGTGGGTTTCTCCCCGATACTCCTGGGGCTCCTTCCAGGACAGCGTATTTCTGTGCCGGTGCCGGTGCCTGGCTGCAGCTCCTGCGCGCAGCAGGAGATGCAGCCAACCCCCAGCCCAGCTGCATCCAGGGGACCGAGCAGATGTCCCCACTACCACAGCTTGTGACACCGCTTTGTCCTCGCGCCCAGGCAGCCAGCGACCTTCGCAGACCCAGCACCGGAGCGAAACAACCAACCCTCCAAGCAGGGTTTGGGTGAAGATGTTCAGACCTTGGGCTCCCGGGTCCCTGGCATTGCCGCCCCAGCGGGCGCCAGGAGCACCTGCAGGCGCAATGGGAGCCTTGCCGAGAGGGAGAGGAGGAATGGTAGTGTTGGAGGAAAAGAGGTGGATCGTGTTTTGGGTGGTGGAGGAAGGAAGAGTGTTGGCCCTGGGAGTCTGGCAGGAGCCAGGTGAGGGTGAGGAGAAAGAAGTGGAGGAAGGCAGCGTGTGACACCCACGAGCAAGTCCTTTCTAGGCAGCGGGAAAACCCTCCCTCGGGCTTTGTCCTCCTTTGGGTGGGTTCTGGCAGCCCAGAAAGCAGCTTGCAATGGTCTGGTACCTCCTTCTTCCCCATACACCTCTCCGTGGGACTGTGTCTCCAAGTTAGCATCTCCCTAGGGGATCATTATTTTCCCTTTTTTTTTTTTTTTTTTTTGATTTTAAATAATTTTAAATGCATGACTGGCAATTCAAGAGAAAACAAGAAATGCTTATTATTGCTGAGGATCTCAGCCCAGTGAGAGGAGATATGTTCCTTTTGGGTAATGAAACATCTGTCAGGGAACAGTCACGCAAATTTCTTTTACTTTTCTTCTTTTTACCTGTTTCATTGTTCTGGAGACCATAGCAGTCGGCTCACAGAGGGAGTGGTTTGTTAATTCAGAGTCTTGCAAAGTCTCAGTTGGTGGAGGACGGGTGTTTGCTAAAGCTCCTGGCTCTGGGTGATGCTTTGAGGGGGGATTGTGGCAGCGTGGGCTGGGACACCAGCCCTCCGAGGGAGCTGGGGGAGGTGTTTGCTGTGGCCCCTGGGCACCATGTGGTGCCTGGAGTGGCCCCGGGAAGGCAGGAAAGTGGTTGCCAGCTCTGCCAAAGCTGCTCTCCAACCACGGGAAGGGACAGGGACCCTTGGTCACGCTGCTGGGACAGTTACCACCAGCCCCGGTTCCTGGGTCACTAACCCTGAGGAGCCAGGAAACGTGAGTTAAACCCTTAAAAATCACAAGATGGCCTTAAAAAAAAAAAAAAAATCCACCTATGAGATTGTGTTTGGTTTTGCTATTATTATTAGACTCTTCAGTATGACTGGGTGTTTTCAGGAGTCATCTGCCAAGCTTTTCTCTGCAGCTGGGGAGGTTTAGGGTCCTGTAGCTTGCAGTGGGGTGAGTTATTGCTGCGTCTTGTTGAAGAGAGGCAATTCCAGCCCGACCGCTAGCTGAGCGTCCGTGGCTGTGTCTTGGGAAAGCTGTCAGACCGCCTTGCACGATTTGAGTCTTTTTCTTAACCGGTCTGTTCTTCTGGGAATGAAGAGGAGATGGAGCTGCCCGGTGCAAGGGCCAGAGGCTGGTGCTCTCGCTGCTGTGGAGGATGCTCTGCTCTGGTCAAGGGGAAGAGCCAAACCTCCCCGGGAGCAGGAGCGGGTCCAGCAGCCAGAGCCCGAGAAGCCACAGCACAAGGTTGTTGCCCCTCTTACTGTGTGTCCCTGCAATCCCGCTCCCCTTCTGCTGGAAGCATTGCTTTGTCCTTCAAGAAAACGTCTTTTTCGTTTGAATGGATTATATTTGGTTCCTCCACCCCCACCCCAAACTCATCTCTGTGTGTCTTTGAAGGCCAGCTCTGGTTTGCGGGCAGGAGGCAGAGACCAAGCCCTCGGGCTGGTGGCTCTGGGTGGGTTAAGGCGCGTGTGGGTGTCCCTCCCACGTGGGTTTGTGTGGCTGCAGAAGAGCCACCGAGCAGACCTGCTGCTGAACAAACTAGGGAGGCACCTCGTTAAAACAATTTTGGAGATACTCATCCAAACAGAAATGTGAATCTACTTTTTTTTACTACTCGCGCTCTTTCCGTCAGTGTCCTCTTCTACGAATCTCCCAGCTGATGAATTTACTGGTAGGAAACAGAAAACCCGGGGATGTCCAGGGGCTCTTGGCTGTAAATGGAGCCGGGTGGTGGAAACCCAATGATCCGGAGCCTCCTCGGCATCCATCCACTCGCTTCTGCATCACCTCCGGCCACAGGGCCCGTTGCAGCCCTGGGTATTTCTTGCACTATGTATGCTTGAATAACCATAACAACACCGTGTCTTCCCGAGCCGTGGACTCATTCTGATGATGATTTTTCCTGTCATTTCAGGTATCGCCTTCTTTCCCCGGGCTTTTCCTCAGCCCAGCAATGACTTGACTGAATAATTCAACTAAAAATTCAGGATTGCAAATAAATACTGGATAATTGCTAACAGCTCGCAGACAGTCCGCTGCCAGAGGAAGGCTAAACTCCTGGTGAATTATTTATCCACTATGAATTATTCGCTCGGCCCTGTTACGGAAGAAAACCTCCTTCCCAACCTTTGCCTGCCGAGTGCCCTGGCTGGGGGGTGACTCTCCTGGTGCTGACTCAGCCCTTTCCCCACGGCTCCCGCTGCCTGCACCGCTCGGCAGGGAAGCAGCCCTGGGGAGCTGACTCCTGCCCCGTTCAGTTCCTCAGCTCCTCCGCGGACCCACAAGTGTGGGGCAGAGGAGTCAGCGTGCCAAGCCCTGGGATTGTCAGGACCTGACCCCTCTTTTTTTGGCTGCGCTGGAGCTGTCCTCCTTCCCTGTGGTCTGGCCAAGCCCTGGCATGAGATCCGTGAGGAGGTGAAGGCATCTTTCAGATGGGGTCTTGCACCCTGTGCAGGCAGGAGCCCCTCTGAAGCAGCCTCCCTGCAGGACCAGTGCCCCCAGTACAGCTCCTGCCTGCAGTTTAGGGAGAAGGTCTGGAAAGCATCAAGCCCTTGGGGAAAATGGCCGAGCTGGACCCCATCCTCCAGTGGCAGCACCATGGAGGGTCCTTATCTCTGCATCTGGTACCACACGCGGTGCTGCTGACTGTTTCCAGTGCGTGGAGAAGCTCTGAGCAACACTCTCTCTTTTGGGGGGGAAACATAGGGGTACCCCAAGGCAGCTCGAGCCATGCTAAAGCTTTGGGTCACGCTTGCATCCTTCAGGGCAGGTACAAGGCTGTTACTCCCAAACCATGCTGTGGCTGCAGAAATATATCTCTCCGTGGCAAGCACACGCTGCCTTACGATGTGAGCCTGAGCGGCTCTCGCTGGGGGAGATGGAAAAGGCTCCCTGGGTGCTCTCCCCACCGCTGAGGCCTGGAAAGAGCAGCCGGCGCGGGGATGGAGTCAGAACAGGGGTGCAGGCTGCAGGATGCTCGCTAGCCTAAATGTGATAACACTGCAAAACAGCCCGTGATGGTGCCTGGGCTGCTCCGCAGCGAGTGCCTCCGGGCTGGACTGGGTGCCTGGGGGTTATCCCCAGGTCTTGGGTGATGGCCTCGGCCGAGCAGGACTCACCGGGCATCCCGCTGCTCATTCCTCCTCCCCGCCTCGCAAACACAGTTCAGAATCACCCTCAGAGGTGAGGAGGAGCCACCTACCTGGGCTCATCAATCTCCATTTGCATCAAAAAAAAAAAAAAATTAGGAGAAAGATCAGTATTAAAAGAGCCTGTTATTTCTTTTTTTTTTTTTTTTTTTTTTTATGATCCTCTGGGGGTGGGAAACCTGAGGCAGGGTACTGGGAATAAATCCTCTTGGCTACCTTGATGTAAATTAGGAGGAAGATGATGGATTTATGGGAGTCGTGCGTGATGTATGCTCCTGTGTCTGGTCCCTGCAGGTCGGTGCGTGCCCCTGGGGAGGCGAAGAGCTGGACGGGGACCGGAGCTGCCACCGGCCCCCCGCGCCGGCATCCTGCTGCGGCCGCCGTGGCACTGGGGCTGCTGTGGTGGTGGGTCTGGGTGAGTTTTCTTTGCCTTTTAAGCCCACTTCAGGGAAATTACGTGGTTTTGGTTTGCCCCTTTCTGCTGGTGTTGAGGAAGGCATGTCCACGCAGACACCAGTCCCAAAGCGTAGTGATGCCCTGCTGAGGGCTGACTTTCTGGTTTGGTGGAGGAAAAGGCTTTTCGAGTCGCTCTCGGTGATGCTTTCCCCCTCCATCCTTCCTTCTCTCCCATCCTGAGAGCCGGTGAGCACTTGCTGCCGGCTGCAGCAGTGTCTCCATGGAAGAGGGGAAGACTCTTCCTTAGGAAAGCCCGTCTGTGAGGGCTTGGAAAGGCCCCGGGACTGGCGATGGGGGGGGAGCTGGTCCCAGCTCTGGGGCTCCCCTTACCAAACCATCCCGGGTTCCCGACCATGGTGGGGCTGGAGCCGGTGCAGGGGAGCTGTTGTTATTCTTCTCATGTATCAGGAAGGATTTCTGCGAGTGCCATAAACCCATCACGTGGGCAGAGCCTGGGTGAGCTCTAATTGCTTCTATTTGCATAATGAGGCGAGGCTCAGCATCCTGCTGATATTTGAAAGAAGAAAATCAAAATCAGCTCTAGATAAACAACTCTCCCCCCCTCTCTCTGATCCCTACCCCCACTCCTAATTTGCGCATTTTCTTCCTTAATGCAGGTTTTTCAGCTCTTTGGTTTATCCCAGGAGCCCTGGGACGCCCCCCCAGGACCCTTCCCCATAGAGTATGGGTGCTGGGAAGGCAGGGGGATGCTGCCCCTCTCCCCCAGCTGCAGTGGTTTTGGGCCTTGGCTTGGAGCTGGAGGTGGGGGACAGGGTGTGGAAGTGGCTGGAGAGGATCAGGGTGGTCTCGGGGCTGGAAACGGGGAGCGCTGGCTGAAGCCCCCCAGGCGTGGGGCTGTGTGATGCTGCAGGGTCTGCGGCGGGCCCGGGGCCAGGAGGTTTCCCTGAGTGGGAGCCCAGCACGTGCCACTGCAGCCCGGTGTCCCTGCAGCCCACGTGGGGACATCCTGCCTGGGGGACCTGCCAGGGACGGGACGGGACCCTTCCCCACCTGCGAGCCCCTCGGGGTGGGAGGGAGGGCTTCCCTTGTACCCCAGGTGGTGCTGGCTGGAGGGATGCTCCTGCCCCGGGGCTCTCTGAGGACCGGGATGAAGGTGCAGAAGGACTTTGAAGAAAGGATGATGACCCCAGGCTGGGCTGTGACACCAGCCCGTGTCCCCAGATGTGCTGCCCTGTCATAACCCCTTTCCCCCACTCTCCCACAGCGCAGGGGACCAGGAACATCCCTGCTTCTCCTGTCCCCTCGGGTCCCCGAGGTCCTTCCCGGCAGCCAGTCCCGGGTGTCCCCTTGGCCCTGGGGGGACCTCAGGCATCGCCAAGACCTGCTTGGCACCCGCAGCTTTTGGGACCTGGAGGGGCTGTTCTCCTGGTCAGGGTGCCAGGGTGGTTTTGCCCCCTTTGCCCCAGGAGGGTTGGAGCCTTGCTCGCTTGAGGCCAGGCAGCAGACACCACACAGGAACATGCCACATCCCTTCCCCAGGGGACCAAGTGAATCAGCTCCTTCCTCCTCCTCTTCCTCCTCGGCACATGGGCTGGCATCCTCTGAACCCTTCGCTGCCCTTTGGGGGAGAAGTGCTGACTCCAGATGTTTCCCTAAATGAGAACCTTCCGCAAACGGTACCGGTTTATTTTCATATTGAAAGAAAATGAAAGGGCTGTTATGATGATGATTATTAATGTTTCTGCAGCCCGTGTTTGTAGCGGGAGCTGCTGTGCTGATGGGATAGCGGATGGACAGACGGACGGATGTGTGGGGAAGCTGTGTCACCCCCCTCCACCCCCTGCTCTGGATCCAGGTGCATCGTTGGGCTGGTTCGCTCTGGCCAGCTCCATCTTATCCCAGCTCTCCAGGTCGGGGACGGATGGTGAGTTCCTCGTGCCCGTGGTCTCCCCTCCCTCCCCCAGCCCCAGTGGTCCAGGAACGAGTCGTGGCGGGGCAGGACTGGGACCCCCAGGAGTGGGGGCTGCAGCTCGGTGGCAGCAGGACCACGAAGCACCCGTGCTCAGAGATGTGCAAGGGTAAAAGGACAGGGGTGAGAGGAGATTTCTGTGTACGGGTGTTACTGAGAGCGAGTCCTTGTTTGAACGGCTCCCGTGCCCCTGCTGAGGCTCGGCTGCTCGCTCCAGGTGTGACTGAGGAGCTCCACATCACTGCCACGGCCCAGGACCCTGCTTGGGGTGGAAGGGCAGGACCAACCCCCTCCTGAGCCAGCTCCTGTTTCTGTCTAAGCCCAGTCTCTTGCTGGGATGATTTTGCTGCTCCCATGGTCCCCTCCAACATAAGCTCTTCCCTCCCCCCAGATCCCCATTTTACTTGGGCTGCTGATATCCCGTGAGCTCAAACATCATCGGCTGGATCTGATTGAACTTTTGCTTTCAAACCCCCTTAGCTCTGCTCCTCCAAAGCCACCAGCATCCCACCGGCTGACCCCAGCCCATGCCTGCTCTCATCCTTTTTGCTTTCTTGGCCCATCAGTGTTCAGCGACCTTCAGCCTGCAGCGGGGCCAGAAAGACAGGAGAGACCGGGCTGCCGGCGCTCGTGGCTCCCTCTGCTCTCCTGCTCGTCCCAAACCCATGGCTGGGGCTGCTGCCTGCATCCCCATCCCAAACCACGAAGGTTCCCCCCCTTCCTTTGGCCCTCGTGGTGTGTGAAATCCCCTCCTCGGACCAGCGTGGGAAACAGAAGCAGCAATGCTTCCCCCCATCCCCTCCTCATCCTCTGGCCCCTGGGGAAGCTGAACAGGGCAAGATGGAGAAAAGGAGAAGGACCCTCAAAGGTGGAAAGAAATCCCCGCAGCAGCTTTTAATGGGGAGGGGGGGAAAGAGGGAACAAGATGGGAGGGGAGGTTGCGAGTACGTGCAGCGAGGGCGTGTGTGTGTGTGTGTGTGTGCACACGCCGGCTTTCCATCAGGCTGATGAAAAGGACTGGGAGCTCTTGCAACTGAAGCCAAGGCGAGTAACCTGTGGCTGTCCCAGGGGCGGGGGGCGGGCGGGGGGCGAGGAGAGGCCTGTTTACTCAAGAGCAGCAGGGATGCTCTGTCAGGAGCCGGGGCGGTCAGCTCTGCGGCAGTTCCAGCTCACCGAGGAGGGGTCGGGGTTTCAGCATCCCAGCCCACGCTGCGAGGAGGGACGTTGGCCGGGCAGCTCCGCCGCCGGCCCCCGAATCGAGGGTTCAGTGGGGTGCATTGGCTGGGGGGGCGGGGTGGAGGGGAGTCTGCCTCCTCCCTGGGTCCCCGCGGCTGAGCGGGGGGTGCTGGGGCTGGTCCCCGCCGTGGTGCAGATTCCGGGGGGGCTTCGGTGGAGCAAACACAGCCCAGACATCAGCTGGGAAGCGGTGGCTTCGTGCTGGCCTGGACGAGGGGTCTCTGGTCCCTCTTGCCCCATCAGCGAGAGGATTTTTTCCTCCTCCCATGTGGATAAGAAGCTCCTGTTGCCATTGCACAGCTCTTTTTGCCTTGCCTAGAGTCTCCCTTGCACCCCACCTGCAAATTTCCAAGGGCTTCCTGGGCTCATTTGTCACCCTCATGTTGCGTTTGGGATTTGTATTTAATTCTTATTTATTTCTTCATAGGTTTGTCCCTGTCATTGCTGCTGTTCCCGGCCCGGCTTTCCAGCAGGTTTGCTCTGCAGAGAGCTGCAGGTTGGCTATGAAAAATGACAAAGCGTTCATTTAAATGCACACCATGATGTCGGCGAGTCCATTAGGGGAATTAATTTGAATGGTTGGCGTTTAATAAACAGCCTCGTCCCTCATCTCTCCCCACCGCCGCCATCTCGGAAGGGTTAAAAGAAACCACATGTGGATATTGGAGGGATGGGGGAGCAGGTATCTGGGTCTGGAGGGGGGGAAATAATAAAAGAGAGCTGGTGTTATAAGAGGAATTGCAGTTTGTTTTGCTCACGGTAAAAAAAAGCACATGTGGAAGGGGGCCAAGCTGAGCAGTTTGGGTTCATGGGGTGTTTGGTGCATGGAGAAAATAAGGGGATGAAAAAGTGATGGGAGCTGGGGAGGACACGCTCCGGCCGGAGGGTCCCAGCCTGACTCCAAACACGCCGGGCGGGGGGAAGGCGAGGGGGTTCGAAGGACGTTTCTCCCCATATGGTGTGTATTACAAGCTCCTTTCTAGTTGTAAAGATTAATTTAAAGCCTTTCTCACCTCCCCCCCATTCCTCTTTCATTGACAAATGAACATCTGGGCTGAATGCTGCCCAGATCCTAATCAAAGCATTTTTTCAGGGCCGTTGTCTGCTTTTATGGCTATCTGCTTTTCGGATTCTCTGCAGTTTCAATGCACTTGGCAATTCAGCCTGTAAATACCCCTCTCTGGGATTTATGATTTGGCCTAATGTGATTTTTCTCTTTGCTTCTTGATTCGTTTGTTTGGTTTAGTTTAACGACATTTTCTTGTCTGTGCATAAGTTAGGGCATGAGGAGTAATTTTTTTTCCCTTCCCTCTTTGCAGTGGGTTATTAACAATCAGCAAAAATGGCATTTTTTTTTTTGGGGGGGGGGGGGGCTGTGCTGGCTGATGGGGGCACTGGGGAGCCAAAGCCAGCCCTGAATCCCTGACAAGCATCCCCTGGTCATCCTGAACCATCCCTTTTTTCTTACAGAAAGCTGTTTTTTTGAGGTTTTGCCGAGAAAGCAGGTTTCCACCAAAGTGAAGCTGAGCCCTTTTCATGATGCTCGAGGGTTTCTCTGGTAGGGAGGGGCAGCGTGAGTCACAGCCCAATACAGAAAATCCATTTGCCCCCCAAAATGATGCTCGAGCAGTCGACCGAGATGCCTGAATTACAGGGAGAGCTGTGGCTGGGATCCTGTTCCCATCACACTTGATTTTTTCCCCTGCAAGCTCCAGTTTGGGAGTTAAAGGATCAATGTCTAAAACCTATCTGGGATGTTGAATAACGTTTGTCATGTCCCAGGTGCTATAGGAGAGGATGGTGCTTGAGGCAAAAAGGCAGAAAAATCCCTTTAGGGCAAATATAGGGACTCGCAGGGGACATAGTGCGGTGTCCCCTGGGTTGGTTCCTGTCCCTGAATGGGAAGAGAACTGGGAACCACAAAGATGAGGTTTTGGGGGAAATATTCAGAGCATATTCGTTCCTGCAGAAAACCTTGCTCTGGGTTCCCCCTTCCCTCTGGCAGAGTGACGAGGCCGGTTATTTACCCCGACAGACGCCTTAATTAAGGTGTGTGATTTCAGGCTATTTAAACCATCAAGGAGAGGTCTTGTTTATACAGCAAGAGCATGGGGTAATGGCAATATTAATTAAAAACGTTCTCCTACGTGAGATAAAAAAAAAAAAAATCACTGTGGTGGAAAGCGGTTTTCTGCTCCTTGGCTCTGCAGGACGAGGGGTAACCAGAATCCTGGGGGCTCCTGCAGTGATGCAGGGATGGGCACCATCCATCACCCCCACCCTCTCCACCCGAGGATGTTGCTGGGGAGCTTTGACTGGGAAGCCGGAGCGGGTTGGGGATGGTGGCGTTTCACACCGATTTCCAGGTTGAAGCCGGTGTGGCTGTTCCAATGCCCGGCCAAAGCGGCAGCTTGGTTGTTGCAGGGGGAGCTGTGACTGTGGGGAGCATCCTTGCTTAGGGTGGGGAGCGGTTTTGAGCAGGTACGGGTAATCCCCCCTTCACAGGCACTGGGCCTGTTTTTTCCCAAGAAACTCTGAATTTCCCGCAGATACAACGAGCCAGGACGCAGCAGGCAAGTCCTCGGAAGTGGATTTGGGGGTATGGAGAACCAGAGCCGGACTCTTGATGGTCCTGGATGAGGACAGCCACCTGTGCAGAGCTCCCGAGGTAGGGAAGCACCTTCCTGAGCATCCAGAGGAAGCTCTGGGGTGGTTTTTAATTTCTTTGCGTTTTTGCCGCTGCTTTTCGGCGCGCTCAGCGTTCCCTGCCTCTTTTTCATCCCTTCCCTCCGCGATACCCCGACAAATGAGCAGCAAGCGCGGCCGCCGGCCACGGGTCTTCCCGGCAAATGCCATCGCTGCCCCGTCAAACTCAAGGTCAGGGTGAAGTCTGGCGTCGGTCCGCAGCTGAGCCAGCACATCCGCGGTGCGAGAGCAGCCACCGGCAGCCCCGGGGCGAAGGTGAGGGGGATTTATGGATATTTCATATCGGCGCTATCGATCGTCGGGGCCATCGCAGCGGGGGGAGGTGGGACGGAGGGTTGGATGCTGGGGTGTATCATGGCCAAGGAGGCTTTTTGGGGAGGGGGGAGGAGGGAGGCAGCGGTGTTTGGGGGTGCGGGGGAGCCCTCCTCGATGTGCCCAGTGGAGGAGGATGCGGTACCCGGGCGCCGCAGCTCCAACCTCATCCCTGACCCGCCGCGTCGGGAGGAGCAGGAGAGGGCGGCCGCGGCCGGTGCCCCGCTCTGAGCTGCTGCTGAGCCACGGTTTGCAGCTGAACTCTGCACAGAAAGTCGCTCTCAGCCTTTTCTCATTTCTTTCTGGATTGAAGGCAGCTTCCAAATTCCTGCGCAGCCAAATCCTGCCTGGGGCTGCCAGGAAACCCGGCCAGCAACAAGTACGTGCCGTTTCTGTACCCACAACACAGCCAGTATTGCTGTTATTCTGTGGGTGACGATGACGGGACGGAGCTCCAGCCCTCCCGAGGATGCGATCCCGTCCCTTCCCAGGCTGCAGCCGGCACCCTGCCCTGGGTCAGGGCTGCGGCGTTGCCTCCCCTTCACCGCTGCCTTTTTATAAACCAAAAAAAAAAAAAAAAAAAAAACAAAAAACCCACCAAAAAAAAAAACAAAACAAAAAAAGCCCACCCCACCCTGGATTCCCTAAACTTTAACCGCCCGCCCTCCCCGTAACCTCCCGCTTTCCCAGCGCATGGGAGCACATCAGCTTTCCCCGCTCCCGCCGGGATTTACGATCCCCGGGACTTCCTGCGCTGCCTTTCAACGCTCTCGCCTCCTTCCCGCCGCCGATAAATCAAACCTGTTTGTTTCGGGTTGCTCCTTCCCCGTTTCTTTAATTTATTTTTATTTTTCCCCCTGCTGCTGCCTCCCTCAGCCCCCAAGGGTTTTGGGGGGATCACCGAAGGCACAGTGGAGAGTGGCAGAGCAGTGAAGCAGCCCCGAGGGCACGGTGAGGGCACGCGTTGGGTCTCCCCATCAAATGTCAGTGACTGGGAAAAGTGTTTGGGGGGGGGGGGGTTTGGGAAAATCCAACGCCGCTGGTACAGACTAAACACCGCTCCCCATATCTAAACACCACCAGGATGTGTCCCCACTCCCGGAGGCCCTCGGCGCTTGGGGCTTTCCCTCGAATCCATCCCAGCGTGACCCCAAAGCAATTTCCCTGGCGGCCTCGGGGGAGCCCCCCCCAGCAGGGTCAGGCTGCCCGAGCCGCCCCGGGGCCGAGCGCGGCGCAGCCAAGGCGCACGGGGCTGCACAGGCAGCACCCCCAGCCCTGCATCCCCCCGGCCGTGGCGGGGACGGGGAGCCAGCCCCCACCGAGCCCACCCGCGGGACGCCTGGTCTGGTCTTTCCACTGGTGACTCACGGAAAAATGCTTGTTTTGTGCAGCGGCCGCTCGGCGTGATGTTTCTGCCTTCGTGCCTTGCTCTCTCTTTTTTTTTTTTTTTTTTTTTTTTTTTGTTTTGTTTTTTAAAGATTTTTGGTATGAAAACATCTGGGATCCTGACCTTCCTGCGGAGCTTGCCTCACCTGAAGGCATTTTTTTCCCCCTGCATGTGTGCAGGGCTGGCTGTGCAAGCCGCGCTCCATCGGCCGCCTGGGAAGCAGCCCGCTCGCACTTCCAGGGTTGAATTTTTTGGGGATTATGATTTCTGAGCGCCTCTTATACAACAGCAGAGGAAGCTTGGAGAGTTTCCACCGCCCCACGCTCGCTCTTTGTGCGCTGGTTTCGGCACGCCTGCCAGCGCCGCTGGCTTCACTGGACCCCCCCCCACCAAAGCCTCTCGGCAAGGTTTGCAGCACAGCCTGGGGTGACGGCGCTGGGGATGGAGTGTAAGTCAACCTGGGTGTTTCTGGATGTCCCCGCTGTCCCCAGGGCTGGGCAGGTTGGGACAAAGTGGGACCTCGCCACGCAGTTCAGCTCCTTGCTGCCTCGCAGGGAGAGAGATGGATCTGTTCTTTTTTTTCCCCACCATCCTTCATAGGGCAGGGATGGAGCACGGCCCCTTCCCAAGGGGATCAGCCCGTCCCAGCCCTGGCCAGTCACAGAGGGAGCCTGAGGCAGCTCTATATTTAACTGAATTAGCTTTTTAAGATTTTTTTTTTTTTTCTTGGAAATGGGAGTGGAGAGGGATGTTCCTCAGTGCTCGCTGCCGCGAGCTTTCCCGCCTGACTTATCACACCTTCACCCTTTCCTCAGAGAGCACTGACCCTGCCGCCGCCGCTCTCTGGAAAGCAGATTAGTTGGCTTTTTTTTTGTTTGTTTGTTTTGGTTTGGTTTGGTTTTTTTGTTTGTTTTTTTTGGGGGGGGGGGGGGGGGGGGATGGTTTAGTTTGGAAGCCAGGATGGAAAATTATTTCCAACCTCCAAATTAGAAACAGAATAATAATAAAGTGCCTTGTTTTGGAGGGGGGCGGTGTGTGTCATCCCGCAGCAATGAGAAGCTCGTGCTGAAGAGGAGCAAAGAGCTGTGATTTATTTTTTTAACGCTACCCAAAGGACTGACTTGGCTCTGGGGTGCTGCTCTCACTCCCTTGTACGCATTGATGGGGACGGCTGAGCTGCTGTGGGCAGGGAACACCCACGGGTGGGTGCCCTTCCAGTGGGGGGGACGACGTGTCACCCAATTTAGGTGTCCTTACGCTTGCTTTTGTGGAGAAAAGGGGATCGTGCCATGTGTTTCTTCTGCCCTGTTCTTCCCAAGGGGGTTCAGATGGAGAGCTGGTGTTAAGTGATGGGACAGGAGCAAATATTTTGCCGTGCCAGGCTGGAGGAAGGTGTGAGCAGGTGGTGGTTTCTCCTTGGGATATTTTTTTTTTCAGTGCAGTAGATTAGAGCAATTTCACTGTGGTTGCTCCCTCTATGGTCCCTATCTCCCCAAAACCATCAGGTCGATGAAGATTGGTTCAGACTCTTGGAAAAAGAAGTCCTGCTGGGGCAGTAGCTGGTCCTGCCCGGGATGGGCTCATCCCGGCCATCACCAGCCACTGCAACGTTGCCAGAAACCCCTTAAAAATAAAAAATTTTTCCAAAATTTTCAAAAATTCCTTGTGTGGGGGAGCAGTGGCTGCTTAGGGGCTCAAAGACTGGATTTAAAGGCTGAATTCCTGCTGCAGAGGAGCCTTCAACCTGCTATATTTCTTTCCCCTTTTGGGTATAACATGTTATGTACCCAAAAGTGATGCCCAAGCCAGGGTAGGGTGCCCCATCTGCCTTTGGGGTGCCCCTGGGGCAGGTTTTGGGGGGAGCGGTCTGTGTGGAGCCAATCGCTACGATTTAATAAGATACTTATTGTATGTTAAATATCAACAGCTGATAGGAAACATGTGTCCCGAGGATTAACAGCCGTGTAAAAGATAAAGCAGTGAGTTAAACCTCCAAACAGCATGTTTCAAATAACCCACCGCTGCTGCAATATGTAATAACTGGGATAATGAGGAGTGGGATGGAAAAGGTAAATCGTATATCGCAGATCACGGTGCCCCAATGACCATGGGACGGGGCTGGGGCTGGGTTTTCTCCTAGCAAGGTGATGCCCAGGGATGCTGGATGGCACAGGAGCAACATCAGCTCCTTCTTCCCCCCATCTCTTCCTCCCTTTCCACCTCTCCCCCTTCTTATTTTTATTTTTTTTCTTTTTTTTCCCAGGCCCAAATTTCTCCCCTGTCGAGGCAAACGCTTTGGCTAATTAGCAAAACGTGTCAAAGAAAATGATTAATGTCCCGGGAGGAGGTTTAGCTGCCTTTGTGCCAGCATTGCCTGACTTTTGCTCTTAAAGGTTTTATTAAAAGATAAGGGAGCTTGTGACGGGTGAGCAAAGCATGTGCTCTCCTGGGTGTTAAAGGGTCAGAGAAGCGGGGGGATGTGGGGCAGATCGGGGTCACCCTTGGAGGGAGAGGCGAGGGCTCGTGTTTCTCTGCCTCTGTGCGTGACTGTCACCGTGGTGTCTGGCCTTGGCAGGGGAAAAGACATTAAAAAAAATGGCTGAATGCCTCCTTTATTCTTCCAGGGGCAGGTAATTTAATCTCATCATCCAGGTTATGAATGTTTCTGTGTTACGGGGTTTTGCATGGGTGCGTGCTCCGGGAGTGATGTTTTTAGGGGGTGTTGGGGAGGGGATGCTCGGTGTGGGCACCCCAGGTCGGTGCTGAGTCCAACGCCGGGGAGTGGGGACAGGGCGAGGGGACAGCCGGGGTCCTGTCCCGCTTGCCGAGGGCAGTGGGGGCAGCAGGGACAGAGGTGCTCGGGCACGGGTGTGCTGGGCCCTGTGATCAGGCTCGAGGGCAGCAGGGGTGCAGGCAGGGAAACTGAGGCACAGTCCCACTGGGCTCCTGCCAGAACCGCTGTACGCAGCGTCCAACTGTCCTCGTGTCTCATGGGTTCGGGCATGTTTTCAGCAACCCCCAAAGCACGACCAATTTGGCAACCCCTGAAACACGTACTCCCTTCAACCCAAACCCCTGCAGCACCCCCCCCCCAACCCAGCAGTTTTTGCAGAGGGGTCTTGCAAAAAGCAAAAACTACCCATCGGCTGCCACCGCGGGATCCCACGGACCGGAGCTGGCAGTGCCACAGCATTCCCAATCGGTGCCGCAATCCCAGCCAGGACATCGGCCCCGGGGGAGGACGAGGGCGGTGGGAGCTCCATCACCAGCACACTTGTTATTTTTTAAAATCATGAGCGATTCCAAAACCTGGCAGACACCCATGTCTGCAACTGTAGAGGCCTGAGCCACTCGATGCATGTCAGCGGGGTCGGAGGGGGGGCAGCTGGCAGGAGCCTTGGTGGGGGCTGCAGGAGCTGCTCCGCGAGGTTTTCCTCCAGCAAACAGACCTCTGGGCTTAATAAGCTATTTGTAAAACTCACTCTGGATAAACAAGAGACCGTGTGTCAGGCTGAAGGCGGCCTCGCAGGGCTCCGCCGTGCGGGGTGGGACCTCAGCGCAGAAATATTTTCAAGATAAACAGAGGAAAATGAGTCCAGGAGGAGGCCGGAGCCGCTGGCAGCGGCACGCCGCTCCTCCTGGAGATATTTTGGGGCAGGAACTTGGCTTTCTGCATGCTGCGGCTGAAAGATGCTTTTTTTTTTTTTTTTTTTCCTTTTTTTAGCCTCCAAAGGGAACCTTGCATGCTTCTGATTCAAAAATAAACCCAAGGAGCAGTTGGCAGTGAAGCCAAGTGGTAGGGAGAGGTGCAAAGGCCGGCGTTTGGGGGGGGAGCTTTGGGGTGAGGATGAGGAGCTGGGATGCATGGCTGCTGGTGCAGGTCCCCCCCGGGGCAGAGCTGCCCTCCCCGGGGAACCCCCGTGGGGCAGCGCCCTGGGCCGAGGTGGCAGTTTGGGCGAGATGGGCAATATTAGCAGCAGAGCCACCTCCCCTGGCTGCTGGCGCCTTCCTGGGGCTCCCCTGTCCCCCCCGACGCAGGTCCAGGCACTGGAGCGGTGCCCCGGGCAGGATATGGGCATTGCCCTGCCCTCTGCCTGGCTTAGGCTGGAGCTTGGGAAAAGGGCTGGGCTCCATCCTTCCATCTCTCCATCCCCTCCATCCCACCAGCCCTCCGTCCCCTCCATCCCTTCCACCCTCTCCATCTTTCCACCCCCTGTATCACTCCATGCCCACAATCTTCTCCATCCCTTCCATCCCCACCATCCTGTCCATCCCTTTCACCCTCTCCATTTTTCCACCCCCTCTGTCACTCCATGCCCACAATCTTCTCCATCCCCACCATCCTGTCCATCCCTTCCACCCTCTCCATCTTTCCACCCCCTCTATCACTCCATGCCCACAATCTTCTCCATCCCCTCCATCCCTCCCCTGCAGTGCTGTTCTGGCGGGGTGGGACACGGGACGGGGTGAGTGCCCCGGGGGCCCGGCGAGCTCTCACCACAGCATCCCCGGATCCCGACGGCGATAGCTGAAGCTCAGCACCGTGCTCGAGGCCGGGGGTGGCCCAGGGGGGGCTGGGGGAGCGCAGTCCTGTCTGGACGGTGGCAATCTGGCCCCCTGGGAACGCTAAACTGGGCAAACTGGGGTGGGGGAAGCTGTCCCTTCTCCTCGCCCTGCAACTTTGCAAGCCTCCCTTGGCCTTGGGGCTCGGTGGTGGTTTCCTTCTTCCCTGTTATGTGCCTGGTTTGGAAACTCTGCAACCACGGGGTGATGCTCGGCTTGGGGCACCACGGCTGGGACCTGCCAGCAGCTGAGATCTCCCAGCTTGTCTCTCCTTCTCTTCCCCACCCCCAGCAAATTTAATTAAAAGTCATTCAGATTCCTTTGAAAGAAAATGTCATCCGTCGACACAATTACACTTTAACTAACCAAAGCTGTTACAGTTCCTATATATATTGGAATCAGGCTGTCGTTATTAGTTCTAAGTAAGTAATTTATTCCCATTATTGTGTTCAAATTACAGGATATTACCCCCTGGGGAAATAATCCTGTTATTTGAAATGTAAAAAAGAATTCACATGGACAACAATGGATTCCTAAATGAACCCAACAACAGTCCCCAATCCAAGTGTGGCATCACTTGCCTCAGATAGAAAAATATAAGGTTCCTTTTAAAAACGCTCTTTTCTCCTCTCTTTTCCTCCTCCCACCCCAACGGAGGTAAATAGGGCTCCTCCTCTTCTTCAAAAGCCTCTATTGAGGGAATCCTGGATGTGCAGGAATTTGGTGGGGAGCGTGACGGCGGAAGATGTGTATGTATATCCCCCCCCCTTTATTGTGGTGGTGGGAGGGGAGCCCCGAGATGGTGGGATACGAGTGCCCGGCACAGCCCCGGGGGGTTCTGCCAGAGCTGGGAACCATCAGCTTTCTCCAGCAAAGAGCTGCCGCGGCTCTTCGGAAACATTGTTCCCTTGATCAAGATCTTCAGCAAAGCCAAATAACAGCTTGTCTCTGCAACACCCAAACATAAGCAACTAATTTGGACCACTGAAAGGAAAAAGGGGGAGAAAAAAAAAAAAGAAAAGAAAAGAAAAGAAAAGAAAAGAAAAGAAAAGAAAAGAAAAGAAAAGAAAAGAAAAGAAAAGAAAAGAAAAGAAAAGAAAAGAAAAGAAAAGAAAAGAAAAGAAAAGAAAAGAAAAGAAAAGAAAAGAAAAGAAAAGAAAAGAAAAGAAGAAAAGAAAAAGAAGAGAAGAGAAAAAGAGGAGGAAGAGGGAGGGGAGGGAAGAAAATCAGATACACTTGTAACCTGATTACAACAGCCAGCTATGTGTGCAAAATCACAATGCAGCTCTATAATTAAATCTCTCTTTCCCCCTCCTGCCGAGCTCTTTCCTCTAACAGGCACGGTACAAAAACAGTCGTTAGGACATCAAATTCCACCTCTGACAAGAGGGGACTTTTTTTGTCTATAGCTGTTCAGCTCGTCTTTAAGGAAATAATAATTATAAGCCCAGTGCTGCTGGCTGACGAGCTTTGTGGAGCAGAAAGGGCTCCTCTTGCCCAACCGCCCCTTCCCTGTTTGGCTCCGCTCGAGAACGTGCAGAGGGCTGGGGCGATGGGAAAAGATCGGGAACACCCCCTCCTCGGGTTGGGGTTGGCGATGAGAGGAAACACTGGAGTCTAACAAGATGCTCACGGGCTTGGGAGCCGCAGATATTTCATCCTCTCTTGCCCCACTGAATCCATCTGATGTGTTCTAGCATCAGCAGTTCGGCACCCGGCGGAGGCTGTGGCAGGGGCCTCCCGGGCGGGTGCGATCGTTTGGTGGGTGTATAAAACACCCACGAGGAGCCAGCGGCTTCCCGCACACGGGGAAAACTCCTGCCGCGACGTTTTCCCAAGGTTTTCTCCCCTGCCCACCTCTTGGCTTCTCCGTACGGCGGCGGCAGCTCCCAGGCCGTGAGGGGATGGAGGGATGCTGCGGACGGGACCGGCTCGACGGATCCCAAAAGGAGCTGGGAGGGGGGAAAGGAGCCTCTGGCACGGCGGCTGCAGGGAGGGCAGGGCTGGCAGCTTTCCCCCCCGCCCCGGCCCTGCCTGGTAATGACTTTGATTTGCTCCAAGTTCGTCACAGCCGGCTATTCCCATCCCTCTGACACCCAGCACGTGCTTTTGCTGGCAGCTGCAGGCCGGATTCAGCCTTAGGGACCCATTTCCTCGCGGGCAGGTTCCCGCTCGCTTCTTCGGGGTATTTTTAGGAACAGGTTTTGCATCCCATCTTCTTTTCGGCTAGCAAGTCCGGAGGGCGTTGAGTTTCTTGCACCCGACGGTGCGTCTGGTGCGACGGCTTGCAGCACGGTGGGGAGGGCAAAGGAGGAAGCCTGGCATCAGGGGACCCCAAAATGGGTCCCAGTACGGAAAAGAGCTACCACCGAGGCCGGGCTTAGCCATCGCACCTCATCGTGGCAGGCCAGCAACGTGCAAGAAAGCAAGACCGAGCACAGACGCGGGCTCTGCAACGTGCGACATGGAAATTCAGAAGCTGTTCCAATAAAGCTGTGGATGTTTGGTTTTAATGGCAATTAACAGCTGTTAAAAGGCGAAAGATCTATTCTAATAATACCTAGAGCTTCTAGCGCCTTTCATGAAGGGATTTGAAAATACATTTGTGAGTGTTAATTTTAAGCCATGATAATGTACTCTGGGGAGGTGGATGGGTTTACCTTGTTTTCAGGCGGGGAAGCCAAAGTGGGCCAGGGAACCATGTGGGGACGAGCATTTAATGCCAGCAGAGGCAGTGAGATCCCTGCCTGGCTCTGGAAGAGGGACAGCACCAAGTCGGGGACTGGGTGGCAACACCAGGGCAGTTTTCACCAGCATTCCCCCCCGGGGTTTTATTTTGGGGGGGGAGATTAACTTGGTGCAAAACTGGAGGCGCTCGCGGGTTTAACCCTCAGCAGGACCCTTGCGCTGAGGGGGCACGTAGGAAATCGTCTTTCCCTGTGAGATGCTGCAAATCTGGATTTTCCAGTTCCTGGAGGGCTCTGCTTGTTTAAATTAGAAGCAGATAGGAGAGGTGAATTTTAAGAAGGACAGAGCAAAGGCACACAAGTATGCAGTTAACTTCTAAACTTCTTTCTCTGGGTCTCCTGCTGAGTAAATGCTTTAGGAGCTTCAAACCACAGCTTTTAATATCTTCTTAACATGCCCTGCGATTCCTTCCCCCTTGTCAAAACGGCAAGAGCAGCTGTGAATATTTTCCATTTTAAAATGTTTTGTATGCATACGAAAGTACCTGCAGCTCCTGTGGGCCGAGCTAGGGAGAAATGCTGAAGCCAAGGATATCTATTTTATATCAAACCTCAAAATAGCACGTTACTGCCACTCGCTCGCTCGTGTCCTGCATCCAGGAGGGTGTTTTTGACTTAACTGACAGATCAAGGGAAAAATCCCCAATTCACTCTGTTGATGTAGAAGATCCTGTCATTTGGAGCTGAGCGTTCCCGTTCGCCTGGACGTAGGATTGTTTTAAACTCACAAATGCAGAACCTGTAATGCTGGGGTGTTATATGGGGATTGCAGATTTGGGGAGGTTTCCCATGCACGTTTCTCCGCTTAAACCACATTTTTTCCGCTGAAAGGTGTAACTGCCATTTGCGCACCTTACAACCAATTTAGCAGCCAGTCCGCAGCTGAAAAATGCAGGCAGCAATTACAGGTTTGGGATTTGTGCTTCTCTCAAAGCTCTCTGTGGGTTGTGCATGTCAGCCCTCCTCCCTGCCTATTTTTTTTTTTTTTGCCTGATCTTGGATGAAAAAAGCTTATTATTGGGTAAATGGGGAAAAAAAAAAAAATAAAGAAAATGAAACCACCCTGATCTATCAGAGATCCAGTCTAGCCGTGACAAAAGCCTGGTAACGGGGGCTTTGAGGAGGGTGAGAGAAGCGTGGGGCACCCGGCGTGGGGCAGGTCCTGACATGGGGGGGGTCCCAGCTCAGGGTTTGGGGGGGGCAAATGAGCGCACAGGTGGCACAGCAGGAAAGCAGGGCGGTTTTGTGCATATACACCCGTCCTCCCATGCTGGGCAAGGAAAAAAAAAGCAAACCAAAACAAACCCCAGCAGGCTTCATTTGGAGTTGAAAACCAGGCTGCGGTTTGGGAGACGTTTGGCTTTATAAACCCCAGAGCTGCGGGATTGGAACTGCTGGAAATGGGGGGGGGCCACCAACCACATCGCTGTGTCCCCCCTTTTCCCTTCTCCCACGCTGGCGGGGCAAAGGCTCAGCGGAGCTGGGAGGGTGTGAGGATGCTGCAGCCCCCAGCTGCTCCGGGGGGGTCGGGTACAGCCCCTTGGGGGGCGGATTTCTCAGGTTCCCCCCACCCCATGCAAAGCCCGGAGCCAGGCTGAGCGCAGGGTTTATAATCAGCCAGGATTTATGGAGAAAAACGAAATCCCAAGCTGTTCTGATCATTAATCAGGAATTCTTCGCTCGGTTCCCAAGCTGTTTCCCTGGGGATCTCCTCATCGGGACCCCCCACCCCGCAGCCCCCTCCCCACGGATGGCAGCTCCTTCCTTACAGGCAAAGGGGCTGGGGTGGAGGGGGACCCCGAGCTTTTAAATTAAACAACACCCCCCCCCCTTGAAGAATAAATCCTCCAGGATTCATCGGAATAAATCCCAGCAGGGACGCCCTTGCCACCAAATCCCACCTCTGTCCTCACAAGGTTTTATTTGGGGGGGGGGGGGGGGGGGGACAGGACCCCGCTGTCAGACTCGGTTCTGCTTTTAAGATTGGAGCCGGGGGGGGGGGGATGAAATCAGGGCGAAGCTTTGCCGGCGCGTCGGAATCGTCGCCGTCCGCGTTTTAATGTGATTTATGCCTGGTTTTCTAAATCCAGCCGCTGACTGCACGCTTTAAATATAGCTCCAAAAACACCCTGAAAACGTGTAGTAAGCACGTTAAAAACGCCAGGCAAAAGGGATGCACAGCCCCCCTCCCCCCCCCCCGCCACTGCTGGGGGGGCCGAGAGTGAGGGGGCGGTTACTGGGAGGGGAGTGGGATGTGGGGGGGGTCCCAGTACATGGCTGGGGATGGGATGGGGGGGTTTGCAGCGGGGTTTGCTCACACTCCGTGAGTGCAAAATCAAGCGCTGGGTTTGCAGTAAAGGGGTGAGTGTGTGTCTGTGTGTGTGTGGCCCCCCCCCCAAAAAAAAAACCCTGGCAGTCCCCAAAAATGGGGGAAGATGCACTGGGGGGGAGAGGCATCAGTTTGCTTTGCCTCTTTAGTCTCCAGTCAGTGGGGTCCCCCCCATCCCAGTCCCCCCTCCGTCCTACCTGCATCCCTGCGGGGGGGGGGGCAATGCCCGGTGTGGGCTGGGGGCTGTGAGCCTCGCACTGCTCCCCCCCGCCTCTGCGGGGATGTTGGGAGGGAAAAGAAAGGGGAAAAAAGGGAAAAAAAAAAAAAAAAAAAAAAAAAAGAAAGGGAAAAATGGGACCAAAAAAACGGAAAAGAAAGAAAAATAATGGAAAAAAAGGTAAGGGGAGAAATAGAGGGTGAGGACACGGGTGGTGGCCCGGGGGCGGGCGGCACCGTGGGAACCTGCCGAGACCGAGACCCCGGGGGGGTGGGGGGGAGCACCTTGGTGGTGAGTACACGGCTACGCGCGGGCCCCCCCCCCCCCTTCCCCCCAATATTTTTGTCTTTAAAAAAAAGATTTTTGGAGAAAGCGGCGTTTGCGGTAAAGCTTTGCGGGGAAAACGTGAGAACGGCCGCCAAACCCCTCAACTTCCTCGGGACTTTCGCCGCCTCAGCCCGGCCCCCCCCTCCCCCCCCCCCGTATAATAATCGGGGAATAATCGGGGAAAAAAAAGGAGGGGGAGGGGGCGTTAGTGTGGAAAATGTTGGGAAAATGGTGCCCGTCCCCAGGGCAGCCTCAGCACCGGAGGGGAAAAAGTAATAATAAAAATGTGTATATAGAGATATGGGGGGGCGGTTTGTTGTTTTGTTTTGGTTTGGTTTTTTTTGGGGGGGGGGGCTGCTCGGTGCTTTGCAGCAGCGCTGCCCAAGCCCGGAGCTGCTGCTACAAGATGGCTCCCGGCCGGGGGGGGGAGG